TGAGTGTTTGTGTGCGTTTTCTTTGAAAAGGAAGCAACAACTGTCGACTGTCCCAAAAACTGCCTCTGTTCAACATTTGCGGCTCTGTTCTCTAATCATATATAACAACATTTCCTGTAAAGCCAGCAAAAGAATACAGTTTTTTGTAACATTTCGTAACAGATACAAGCTTCAGCAGTTGCACGGCCGTATTCTTTTCCTACTTCTTCAGACACCCAACTACTTTCATCTACCCTCCGGAACTTACGTATTTCTTCATTACAACTTTTCATAATTCTAAATTTAGTGAGTGCTTTACTGATTCCTTTTTACAAACAGGGAATTGTTACATTAGTATTGTTGTATTCTAACAAAATATTTCAGGTGTATAAATCTGAGCTTTACAGATAAAGACCATGTAGACGTTTCTAGATATTGACAAGTAAGTAAAGCAGAGTCAAAAGAAGTGCACACGAAATGTAGTGGGGAATAAGTGCGAAAAAGAGCGTTTGAAACGAGCACCGCAGAACGCAACAGTTCACAAAGCTGATGCTCATTTCGTGTTAAAGCCTCTTTGAGCAATATTACTGATGCCGCAGCGGTTGCTAATGAAACTGCCGTTAAATACAGTGTGCAACTGAGGACTAGTATTTTGACGTGGGTTTATGACGTCAGGAAGACAGGTGTTAAACTTTCTGTGCAAATAAACAAAGCGGTTTTCAAATTAATTGAAAGGTAAAATCAGCTAAAGTTGCGATTACAAGGTAAAATAAATCGAAAAATTCAAATTTTTTATTCCCCAAAACTTATGAAACTTTCAAATTCCATGTCATATCAGTAGTAAAATTATAAAACGGAGAGAACAAAAAAAGAACTTTTATAGGCAGCCGTAATTACTGTACTTCTTCTCTCCACCTTCCCAACTCTCCCAAGTACCTCCCCTGAATTTTACAGAGAACATCTATCTACACCAAGAAGGCCTTTTTCAGCGAAGTTTTTTGAAAGGAAAGATAACAAAGCGATTGACAATTCCAATATATAACTATTGCCAAAAATCTACAGCTTTTCTTCAGGAAGTGCAGTCAGCAACAAGACAACAATATAGTAGCGTAAAGCTCAGGAAGGAGATGAATATAGTAAACCATATAAGCCGATATTCTTGTTTTTTGACGAATTATGTTTCTGACTTCATTCCGTTTCACAGCACTGCACTTCCGGTTTGCCTTCCCCAAGAAAAAATTTTTTGCTCTCCTGAACCTTTTGTACTAGCATCAGTTTAACTGCCCAGCTGCACAAATTCGTGCTCTACTACGTAGAATACGA